CCCAGATTCGACCAACTATGGAGTACTGCTCACATATATGGAGTGCAGCACCCAAACATACCTTAATGCTTTTGAATACCGTGCAAAAACGAGCTATCAAGCTGATCAATGACCCCGCACTTACTCGTAACTTGGATGGTCTCGAACATCGCAGATCTGTGGGCGATTTATCTCTCTTCTACAGGTACTATCACGGAAAATGCTCTGAAGAGTTGGCACGTATGATTCCACCGAGAGTAGCACCTACCAGGCGAACCCGTCAAACAGACGGTAACCATGAATTTACTGTCAAACTAGAGGCACCAAGAACCTCATTATATCAGAATTCATATCTCTGGAGAACAGCATCGCTGTGGAATAAACTCCCTGCGACGGTTTTCCCTGCAGGTTACAACCTGAACCGTTTCAAGACCAACATACACCGACATTTCCGCGCACTTGCCGCTTCTCGAGCGTGATAGGACATTTCCTTGCGAGTGAGCATATCCGTAAAAAAAAAAAAAAATAGTCAAAAATAATCAGTTTTTCTGGGAAAAAAATATACAGATAGTATAAGAATGACTGAAAGAATAATTTAAATATGTTTTTGAAAAATGTGAGAGTGGCCCATTGTTAGATTTTACACATGAAAATGGTCTAAAAATGTCAACTTTTTTTGATTGTTAGAGAAAAAGACATTTTATTTTAATTATTCATAATACCTGGACAATGTATTTAGTGTCTATACCTACCATCTTTTCAACAACAACTTTACAATATTAAGGTACCTGACCCAAATAAGGCCACGTGAGTAGCTAAATGGGGCCAGATCCATTTATTGGTTAATTTTGAAACGACTTTGTTGAAACCCATTTTCAAAAAATACAATATTATCAAAAAAAAAATCAATAATGCCAACCAAAAATTATTACAAAGTTTGCTAAACTCGTTGGAGATCGCAAAATGGCCAACCACATATCTATTTCATAGGTATCGGTATAGGGTCCAAAAAAAAAAATCAAGGATTGCTATAGTTTTTTAAACGTATGTCTTAGCAATATTTTTCTTTAATTTTGTGAATTAATTTTTCAGTGAAAATGTCATGTCAAAAATCCTGACCAATAAAGAAACAATAATGCGACGCACGTTTTCGTAATCAAAGCAATCTTTGATTGAAAGCAATCTTTGATTGTTTTTTTTTTTTTGTAGACCCGATGTCACGCTATAACTTTAAGGCTAGAACTTCATTCGTTGTGTTTATAGAGTGAATGCAGCGATTCTAATTTTTTTACGGATATTTTGAGTTCTGACGGTGAAAATGTGCCAAGAAGTGTTTTGGCTGCATTGCCTGTGCAAACACCATTGAAGAAAATGATTAGAAGGCAGAGAAATGAAGTGAATAGAGCGCCGCCCGTGCCACGGAGCCTGGAAGAACTGAAAATTCCTGAAAAATATAAGACCGTCGTGGGAAGAGATAACCAGGAAGAAGATTTTTTTCTGGCAGATAGCGGCGCAAGCCCTACCAGAATTTTAATTTTTGGAAGACGCGAGAATTTGAAGGTATGTTAGAATACGCTTATTTATCTTTTTTGAGTCACGTTTTTGCACCCGAGCAATTTTTCAAAAATTCTACCGTTTTCAAAATAATGAATTTATGCGGGACTTTATGGAACTCACTGTAGATGTAAAACCTAATTTAAAAAAAATAATAACATGTTTGTTAATAGGGTGTTTGCCCTCAATGTACTTACCTAGTTGTTTTTCCTATTTTTGGTTAGAAATCATAAAACGTTCCCGAAGGAATCGATGGTATAATTCAATGCCGGTAGAGGTATTTGACCTCGGAATGATTGTTTCTGTCGATTCCGACGCACATATAAATATTATATTTTCAATTCTGCGAAAATACTAAATAATCTGCTTTCCTATAACATGCATTGTAATTTTTCCAGATTTTGCGTGAATCCCAGCAGTGGTTCATCGATGGAACCTTTCGTTCTACTCCTCCACTATTCTACCAAGTGTACGTGATCCTAGCAGAAAAATTAGGAGGGGTTCATCCAATAATATATGCCTTACTGCCAAATAAACAGACTGGAACATTCAGACGTCTCTTGGATATGTTAGTAGGATTGGACGCAGGCCTAAATCCACAGCGAGTTTCCTGTGATTTTGAATTGGCTGCAATAAATGCTTTATAAGAAAAATTTCAAGGAGTACAAATACAAGGTTGTTTTTTTCACTTAGTCAAGAATTTTAAGAAGCACCTCGCCGAACACAATCTTTTGGCTAGATATCAAAATGACGCAGATTTTGCCAACATGGCGAAAATGATAACTTCCTTGGCCTTTGTACCTATCGAAAATCTCGATGAAGCCCTACAAAGTCTCAGAGAAGAAATGCCGCCAGATTTGTTGCCAATGCTCGATTGGTTCGAAGATTTTTATGTGGGAAGACCAAATAGACGCGGAGGAGGGCGAAGGCCGCCTATGTTTCTACCAACCTTATGGTCTGTTTATGAAAGAACTTTGAATGACATTCGCAGAACCAATAATTTTGCTGAAGCTTCTCACAGAAGGCTTCAAACAATCAATGGATCATCCAACAATTTGGTCATTTATCGATATACTGAAAAAAGTGCAGGTTTCAAGAGATATGTATATAGAACAATTAATAGCGGGACACGCACCTCCTAAAAAACTTAAAAAATATGTTGAATGTGATAGAAGGATTAAAAATATTGTAGAAAATTTCAATAATATAGGTGTGGTAGAATATTTGAGAGGCTTGGCTTACAATTATGGATGCGTAGGACTGTATTATTTTGTATATTTGTAATATATTTTTTTAATAACATAAATAAAACAATAAATAATATTTTCCACATAAAATATTTGTGTTTCATTTATTTTTCAAGTACCTATCTAGATTACAGAGTGGTCCATTTAACTTGACAGTCTAATATCTCGAAAACTTAAAAAAAAAGTTTTATAGTTTCATGGGGGAAAGAAAATGGTATAGGGAAATTATTAAAATAATGGATGCACGTCATCAAACTAATTTATGATATAAGCATGTCGCAATGTTGCCGCATCAACTTCGTTTTACTTTGACATACCATGTCTAGTAAACTTTGTAATTTTCCAAGGTTACATTTTTATTAACAAATTGATAAGAATCACTAATACCAAAAAAAAGAAATTCCATTAATATAATTTTATAGCAAGTATACTTAAATTATATCCTATCAATCCCCAACTCGTAAAAAACCAAGGTTACATTTTTATTAATAAATTGATAGGAATCACTAATACCAAAAAAAAAAGAAATTCCATTAATACAATTTTATAGCAAGTATACTTAAATTATATCCCAACTATCAATTCCCAATAGGCCTCTTGCATCAAATTTTTTTATTGCTGATTTCGATAGTCCATGAAAAAATAAGTCAACACGTCGTGTTTTTTCTTTTTCTTGTTAGTCAAAAATTGACGGAGAGACGCTATGAAATATGCCCATGACGTCACTTATCATATGAATTAGTGACGTCGCACATGCTCAGTATATCTATATATACAAAACTTAATAATTGTATAACTTCCGGAATAAACATATTTGGGCAAAATAAAAAAATTCGTATCGATTTTTTTCGATTTCCTACAGTTTGCAATAAATAATAATCAATTTAATTTTCCATGCAAGTACCCTATTCGTTAAAAACTGAAAATAAACCTCAAATTATTGAAATCAATAACCGAAGATTTGCAGAAGGCAACTTTTGGCAACATTACCCACGAGTGCCGTTCTAATCCCATTTTATAGGCAGATTCAGTTATATGATCCGACAGCATTCTATCTCTCTTCAACTAGGGTTAAACAAAAAAAAAAGCGATCTAAGTTTAAAACGAATTTCAATTTCTTACAAACTGCAAGTAGTAATAGTGGTAATAGTTTCGACGTCACTGATAGAACTGCATCCATTAATTTCACTATAGCTAATATGTTTTCAATTATTTGCGCCATAAAGTCTTCGCGCCAGAATGTACCTGCGCCAAATAGGCTTCGCGCCCGGAAGGGTCTGCGCCACAACGGACCCGCGCCATAAGGGCCGCGCCAGAACGGCCGCGCCAGATCGGTCGCGCCAGAACGTCCTAGACCGATTATTTATAGTATTATCTTATTTTATTGTTTTATCCAACCTATCCTAATACCTACATATCCTCAATAATTGGCAAATATTTGCACAGATCCTTCCGGTCGTAGTTTTTACTTACTGCTAGTTGCTAATTTACTTTATTATATAGGAAAGAAGAAAAACCAAAATAATATAACCTTTTGAACAAATAATATCCTGCGTGGCTATTACAAAAAAAAAGGAAAATATCGTAACCATAAACAAAAACAATATAGTTCCCACATAGCACTAACAGCCAATTTCAAAACTTCATTCACAATAAATGTTCGTATAATTTGGGTTGAATGGTAAAAATGTTCTCATTATTAGGCTGACTGAAAAACACCTCTATTCAATGTATGAGAATCACAATGCTCAAATTTCTTCTGCTACTTAAACAAAATCCCACAATTATTAATATTTTCTTGGGTATTGTTTCGTTGTACCAATTGAGTCCAGATATATCAAGGATTCGAAAAGGAAAATTGCATTTAATGAACACTTTTAATTTAAAATAACTTTGTTTATAACACGAAATCAATAAAATCTCAAATACTAACAAACCAAGAAGCGCTAATTTTAAAGTTTCTACAGGATATTTTTAGGATTAAGTACTGGATACAGGAAGCACAGTTTAGTCTCTGGAAGTTATTTTTGGAGTTTTAACTATTGCCAAAACTCGCTAGGTATTTAATTAACGTTTCATGATGAGCAATTAATTTATTGGAACAATAGGATTTTTCAGTATATATAATGAATTAATGAGTCATTTATCTATTTTGGAAAATTATCTATTCGATTTCTGCTGCTTACAGGTCTCTAAATTAAATAAACTCCTTTTGTATAGTTTTATATCATATATTTTGTACTAGCATCACATAAAATTACATTTGTAACAATCTCTTATATAATAGGTATAGGTAGGTACCCACAAGATGATCTATTATAAATGCCACTCCTCCTAACTTTTTCTTTTAACGTTTTTGAGAGGAGTTTTAGGAAATCAATGAATTAAGTTTGAACAATAAACTGTAAGTATTAGGTAAATAATTATTTCTAAAACATATAGCCTAAATGATTTCTTCAACATAAGACCTTATGGAAGGGGGTTTTGACGCACCTTTATATGCCTAAAATTGACTTAGTTAAAAACTTTCGATAATTCCTTAAAACTTTTGTAGTCTATCAAAAAAGTCAGATGAAAAAGTTAGGAGATGTTGTAGTTCATAATAGATCACCCTGTACATAAAACAAAAAACTAATCTATAAATCTATAAGCATATTATTTGCACTGTACATACAGACCAATATTGAGCATTTTTGTTTCTGCAACTTAAATTACGTTCAGTGAAAAACACTTTCAAAAGGAAAATATTGAAAATCTTTATTAAAAATCTCAGAAAAAGCTGTTCCCACTAAATCGTTGATCAATGGGGATAAAAGTACAAATCCAGGCTGCCAGGCAGTGTTGATGACCCAATCTAAAACGTTCTCTGAAAATATAATGAAAAATTTCAATACAATGGTTATTGAAAGTATAGTAATTTTCTTTGCGAGAAAATTGCTGATGTTATCTTGTTTATACGACAGTTAAGTACCTACCTATAAAAATATTTTTTTCTGCGATTGACAAGAAATGTCAGCATTTTTGACCGGTTGACAGGTCGCAAAACTCAATATTCTGGTTTTTTAATTATTTTTCAATAGTTGCTAAGGAATCGATGAAAAACAATACGGGAATCACTTTTCCGGCCTAGGCCGGGAAAGTGATTCTCGTACTGCTGAACAATTGGAACAAAGAGAGAAACTTTTAACAGATATCTAACCGATCGCAGAAAAAATAGTATATGTATTTCGGTAGAAAAGCACATTCTCGGCCTTCGGTGTTTGCCGGCCTCGGCTACGCCTCATCCGTCAACTTACACCGTCGGCCGAGAATGTATTTTTCCACCTAAATATACAATATACTATTACACCCTCTGTTTAAAATTATTGAATTTTCCAAGTATTAGTTTTAGAATAATATATTTGAGTTCATTGGTCTAACCTATCCAAAACACGTGACACGTGACGAGCAAAACACATGAACAAAGGGCTTCTGTACGGAAGCTCTGAAGACTCAAAATTTAGGTATGAGTTTTTTTTTCACAACTCGGGATTATTCCTGAGATGATAATCAGGATTAATCCCGACTTACAGATTTATCTCAGGAATAATCCTGACTAATTTTTTAAGTCGGTTTTAATCCCAACTTAGAAGCACTATCTCGAGATTAATCCTGAGATAATTTCTAAGTCGAGATTATTCTCGACTTATAAGTTTTATGTCGAGACTAACCCCGAGATAATTTTTAAGTCGAGATTATTCCTGTCCTGACTTAGAAGCACTATCTCAGGATTAATTCCGACTTATGATCGAGATAAATCTGTAAATCAGGATTAATCCTGAGATCATCTCAGGAATAATCCCGAGTTGTGAAAAAAAATACTAGTAGGTACCTACCTAAATTTTGAGTTTTCATAGCTTCCGTACTTGTGTGCCTCTTGGCGGGCATTTTAATTTAAGTTTAACAGAATCTTGGATAGTCTAATAGTCGTGAAAAACTAGCACACAACAAAATTCAATTCTTACCAACAATTGTTCTACCACCAGCCAAATTCCCAATATGCAACTCCAATTTTTTACAAGTCTGTATATTGCACTTGACCTTAATTGGTGGTCGCTTCATGTATTTTCCCGATGAGAGTTCCTTTTGAGGTTTCCTGCTGACGCTCAACGTTTGCACGTAATCAAACAATGCCAAATTCCAAGAGCCGGAGTTTTTAATTTTTCTTCCTAGAAAGACTCCGTCGAATTCGTAAATTCCTTGCAGACGTTTATCGGGGAAAAATTGAGTGACTTGTACTTGAGATTTAGGCATATCAGTCCTGGAAATAGTACGGTTACCAAAGATTTTGGACAAGCCACAAAGGAAACGTTACTGTTTGAGGGAAAATTTTCACTTACTTAAAATTAGTGACTTGTGATTGGGTCCAGCCAGACTCAGTGACATTTCTGAGCACCAATTTGTAATTGAAAAAGGGCCCACTTCTTTTTTGATATACTTCTTGAGCGTGGAAGGGATCAAAGGGCTCTACTCCATATTCTGGCAATCCTAAAAATAATATAAATATCCTTGAAGTCCATTGAGAAATAATCCTAATAACTTTTCTTGACATGTCGGCGACCGTGTATTTTAACGGACGTTCTCAAACCTTAGGCAGTGGATAGAGGTCCGAAAATTCGGATCTCTAGTGTCCATACTAAAGATCCGATAATTTTCGGATTTTCAATTTGTATATGTTACTGTAAATGCCCGAAATTCGGTAAAACCTAGGATAAGCGCGCTAAACCTAGGATTTACCAAAAGCAAGTGGTAAAAGCCCGAAAACTAGTTATTTTGCTTCCATTTCGGACTTTTACCGGACACAAACAGTAAATCTTAGGATTTACCACACCGCATTGGTAAAAGTACGAATACCACGGATACGTTACAGAAATCGATATCGTGAAATGATCTAATGATCATCGTTAAAATTTCAATGCCTAAAAATAAGATACTTTATAAATGAAACAAAAAGTCACAGCAAAACACTTTTTATTTTAATATTTTCAAATGTAAACAAAAATCATAGTGGCCTTAAACGATATATAAAAAAAGAACATTAATTCAGAACTCAGGTACCTACCTACTAATATTGCAAAAAGGCCAAGAACTAGGTATAGTATTTCCAAACTCAATTGGAACAAGGTACCAACGGGTAGCTGACTGGTCACTGAAAATTTCTATAAGAAATGCACTGCCACTGGTCGATCACCAGTTATAATTTATGTTCACCTTTTTCCAGGGCCGTAGCTAGAGTCAAATTTGTGATAGGGCATGAAAAATTTGACATAGGAGATGCACTACTTCCCCCCCACCCCCTTAAATTTTTTATAGGTAAACAAAATGAGGGTAATGACGCCGGAGGAAAATTTTTCAATAAACAACATCAGATAACGTACATCTCTGGCAAGTAAACAAAATGGCGTGTTCAGGCAATAATTTTTGAGGGACCTCTTGTACTTGTACTACTTGTAAAATAACTGTATACCATACCAACTTACTCGATTTCAGGTCTATTCATTAGCTGTGGTCCAACCGACATGGGAACCGTTCCAGAACCAGTAATAAGTAAGGTAAACAAAATGAGGGTAATGACGCCGGAGAAAAATTTTTCAATAAACAACATCAGATAACATCTCTGGCAAGTAAACAAAATGGCGCGTTCAGGCAATAATTTTTGAGGGACCTCTTGTACTTGTACTACTTGTAAAATAACTGTATATCATACCAACTTACTCGATTTCAGGTCTATTCATTAGCTGTGGTCCAACCGACATGGGAACCGTTCCAGAACCAGTAATTTCCAATTGCCCAACTAATTTTCAATAAGTTGAACGCTGATCCTCAGATCCTACTTGACAAATGAATTGATTGACTGTAAATTACCGTTCTAGAATGGTTCTCATGTCGGTTGGAACAGTGCTGCCATCTACTCCTAAATTTCCTAGAGAAACCTCAACACATGTGTTTTAAAGGTAGGGCATCATCATTTGAAAGATAGGGCATTGCCCCCCCTGGCTACGGCCCTGCCTTGTTCCAATTGACTTTGGAAAAACTTTACTTAAATATTAAAAGAAAAAATCCTTTCATTTATTAAATGAAATAAATGAATTAAAATGTCCACTAATAGAAATATGTATTTATTTATTGGTACAGGGCAAACTTCCATGGCATTTAGATTGCAGAGTATGTTAGAGGATCTGCACAAACATCTTTTGGTGAAACATGTTCGAATGCAATTGCATTTCTTAAATCCTTGGCTACTACATAACGACAATATTCGCACTGCACTTCTTACGCTAATTGCCTGAAACAGAACATCTCCAGGACTCAAGAAATTTTCTTACCGATTATCGTTTCACGATATCGATTTTTTGTAACGTATCAGTGGTATTCGTACTTTTACCAATGCGGTGTGGTAAATCCTAAGATTTACTGTTTGTGTCCGGTAAAAGTCCGAAATGAAAGCAAAATAACTAGTTTTCGGGCTTTTACTACTTGTTTTTGGTAAATCCTAGGTTTAGCGCGCTTATCCTAGGTTTTACCGAATTTCGGGCATTTACAGTAACATATATATTAAGGGTCCGAAAATGCGAATCTTTAAGTGGTAATATTGAAGATCCGAAAATAGATGTTTTATTTCCTCGTTTATTTCTAATCGTGTTGTAAATAAGGAATACTATAACATTTTATTAAAACTGATAAAATGCTTGTATTTTCAGGGATTACTAAAAAAATGGATCCCCTAATCCTTTTTATGTGGAATAGCTAATCAAGTTTACTCAAAAATATTTGCTTGGTGCAATTTCAAACTAAGAACCTTTTTATTTTTCTAAAACTTTACATAAATTGAAATAACTTTTTTTTATAAGTGTTGATAGGGTAAGAGGTGTGATTAAGTTCCTTCTGCACTGCATGCAAAACCAGGCTTTCTTACTAGAAGGCAGCTTTGTTACTGAACAGCACACTTTTATGTTTCCACCGAAGACATTAATTGTACTGTAAACAATCTTCATGTATAACTTCAAGTGGATCAATTTGTTGGTGATGAGGAATGTTTTCTTTCTCAATTTTAAAGTTTTTATGTAATGCTTTGTTTACCAAATCTTCTGTATTAAAAATTGCATTAAGCATTATCTGGTGCCTTAGTTTAGGAACTTTATTTTTCAATAAAACAATTCTATTTTTCTTAGACCTTTTTAGTCCAATTGCAGTTAATTGATGTCCCTTGATTTCAAGTTCTCATTGACACCGGCTTATTTATTGGGACATTTTTTTTTCATTGATGCTAGAGTTTTTGTGTCTCTCTATACAAACATATAAATTCTGTATGTTCAACTTTTTCAATGTACTCCTCTACTACACTAAAGAAATTCAACGTTTTTCCTTTTTGTAATAGAGACATTTTGTAAAAAAATAAGCACTATGTCTTGTTAACTGCCTGCAGCCCTGAACTAAACATGATCCAGGACATAATCACTAAATATCCTGTCGCACATAACCCATTTTCGGATCTTTAGTATGGACACTAAAGATCCGAATTTTCGGACCTCTATCCAATGCCCAAACCTTAGTTTGTTTCACGAGAGTTCATAGTTTTTGCCTTCCTTTTTTAACAAATAGAAATTGATTCAAACAAATCAATGACGTCGAAAACGTTCGTTGGTTCTTAAACCAGAAGTCATTCATTTTAATTTGTCAAAAAAATTGAATATATGTCATATGAATTAATCTAAGACAACCCATTTTTTCAAGTTGTGCCGTGTTTTATGTCAAAAGTATGAACCCCCGTGAAACGATCTGTAGTTCTGGAAGTGGTGCAAGATAAATTCATTGTTGTTTAATTCAATAGACAACATGGGAAAAAGAGTAGGACAGTATACGGTAGTAAGGGACCATAAATAAATCGTTAGAGCATCCTTGGTAAACACACACAAGGAATGATATCTGTGGAATAGCAAACATTTGCCCGAACACTATCTAGACCAACAAGGGCGATGTCGTATTCATATACCTAGCTGCCAGAGAAATTTCAAAAAATTAAACTGAAGAACAACAGGAAAAAAAAGAAAATCTATCATCTAGCGATATTCTAAGACAATTCGAAACATTTTGGCAAAATCTATCCTGTACGGAACTGAAGAATGCTCAAAAATTCGTTTGAGCAGACGATATCTTTAAGGGTTAAAATGGCGACACTTGTAAGACGATCGAGAACCATTGAACATGAAATCTGTACTAGCAGCAGTGCTCAGCCAATCCGACAACCACCTGAGAGACGAGAGATTTTCCCTAGCCAAACAGTCACTAGTATAGTAGACAGTATATGGAGGAAGTTGTTGAAAAGTATTCAATAAGTCCGTGGTCATCGCTAATCAATTGTACCAGTAACCCGGAACGACGGACCTACCAGATTTTGTGTCTATTACAGAAAACTTAACGATGTCTTATGACTTTGGCTGAGATTGGTTTTCTACTTTGGATTTCAGAAGCGGATACTACTGACAGGTTGGCATTCATTACCGGCAAAGACAACTCTAGAAGGCAGCGCTATCTACTGGAAGTGATATTTATCAATTTAAATTTATGACTTTTTCACTTCGTAAGGTCTCCACCAACTTGTTGATGACGTAGTTTAACCCAAAAAGATTCATCCTGACGAGAAAAAAAAATTCAGGGAATTTGTGCATGGATTTGTCCTCGGGACAAGCATGAGTAAGTTTTCTTGGGCTTTGTGCATACTACAGGCGATTGGTAGAATGGTTCGCTAAAGTAGTACCGCGAAAATACGGAAAAATTGATTTTTTAAATGAAACGTTTCGGTGGAGAAGGGGTGTTTATAAACTATACAGGGTGTTCTTTCTAAAACTTACCACCCCTATTATGTCGGAGTTAAAAATTTTAGGAATAATCCCTGAAACACATCAACTAGGGTTATCCATTCTGTGCTTGAGAAAGTACACGCGTGACATTTGATAGCGGTCAAGGACACATGTAAACAAAACAGGTAGTTGTTTAGTTGAATGGTTGCCATTTTAGAATATGGATCGTTTCACTACAGAGTAGACCACAAGTCACACAACACGAGATAATCGGACTTTGTTACGAGAAAAGTTTCCAGGACGATTAATTTTGAGATTGGCTGATTTTGAATTTCCAACACGGTTCTGTGATCTAACACCGTTGGACTTCTTCTTGTGAGGATATGTGAAAGATCGTGTTTATGCCAACAACCTTCTAACGATTGACGCGTTGAAAGACAATATTTGTCAAGTTATGACCGGAATATTGCCTGAAATGTGCCAAAAAGTTAATAAAATTACCGCAACAAGATTTAGTTCTGCAGGAGGTCCCGTGGAGAACATTAATAAATTATATCGTTACTCACACATAATGGCAATAACCACACTTTATAATGCAATAATAGTATATTATGCAATGATTATGTAATGATAGCCATTAATACACGAGCATGTTGTAGGATACGGAACGAGCCACAGGCGAGTTTTGTATATAACATGCGAGTGTATTAATGGCCATTACATGAGAGTTGCATACACTATTTTTTCTACT